TCGCCTATTTGTCTTCTATTTCCGCATTTCGCAGGTTATTCTTAATAGTGACAAGATGCGCAAACCAACACGTCCTTGAATTTGGGTTGATAAGTCTCCTTAAGCATGGTAAAGGATTTATCTTGAAACACAAAAGCTTCTCAACTGGATAGCGATCAAGAAACCAACCCTTCACGAGGAAGCCTCAATCTAGGTTATCTTGCACCTTGGCCACCAGCACTGAGTTCTGTATACGAAATCCCCCAGGCATACGCTTCTCTCCATTAGGAATCGATGTGACCTGATGCTGCTTTCTTTGGCTTGTACTATAGCGTCATCGAGATGTCAGGCTCATTGGCCGCGCAGGGAAAAGTCAGGAAGTTCCTGAACCGCTGCCAATCCAACATCCACATTTCTTGAAAGTGCCTGTCCCGGATGACCTTGCAGTACTTGCCATGTTCCCTCTTCTCATTGTCCATCTGGCAAGTCTATAATATGATCAATGTTAGGCAAGTCCTCACAAGGCGGTTGTATCGGTCCTCACCTCGCTACAGTACGATAAAATGCCGCACCGTTGACATTCCAGGTATGCTTTTTTGCCACAATTGTGACAGCTTTTGTGCTTTGCGAAGCTCCTTGGCCAAACTTGGACCTGATCATTGAGTCGGAGCAAGTCATGCAGGGATAAGGGTATGAGCTGGGTTTCTTTCAGCACATTGTCGCGGAGAGGAAAACGCCTGGAAGGGAATTCCAGCATAGGCAGTTCTTACCTTGATCGAGTAATGGTCTGTCACAATAACATTGACTGAGTTCCAGCGTGAGATATGCTTTCGAGCATACATGATGGCAACCGTGCGTTTCTTCTTCAGATCAAGTGTCACAAAAGAGCGTCCTAGATCATGAGTATGAAAGACGATGTGAAATGGCTCCTTGTTATAGAGACTGCAAGCCATGAGTTTGAGCGGAAAGCCTTCGTTTATCTTAATAATCTCCGCGAGTAGACACCAATGCCTTCGTGGTTCCATCACCTGGTCACTGACATGTTTATAGTGCTCTGGGTCATAGATCTGGTAATCCGGCAGGTCAAGGACTTTAGGGAATGAGACTCTATCGCGCAGATTTGCGTATTTGGCCATATTGCTGACCATTTACCACTGACATGGAAGACGCCATATCTCTGAAGGAATGACAGGATTTATACAGTCCGCCGAGTGCTTGATACTTCATTCACTGTTATTTGCTCTGAACTTGAGTGAATGATAGATAATGAATCATGTTGTTGAAGCCGGCCATTATACTTGTCAGTCTCCACCCCCAAATCATTCATTTCAGCAGACTGTGAATGAAGGAAATCTACAGATAGGAGAGTGCCATGTCTAAAGGTACTCAAGTACTGGGCTTGATTCATACTCGTCGAATCTTAAGCGACAGGGATTCTTCCATACCATGATCTGCTACTCAGTAGTTTCTGTATCCAGCCTTTTCAAATATGGCGGATAAAAAAGAGCTAGAATTTGAATACAAGGAAATAAACTCTTCTTAATGTTCAACTCGATAAGATAATCTTTCTATACGAGCAGCTTTTCTATGACACAAACCCTGAGACAAGTGCGGAGTCGCGCTTAAAACCAAAGGATATCATGAGGGGTAAAACTGTAATAACACCCATCAACAACTGGCGAAGGGAGGGAACATCGAATAAGAGGCCAGGGATTATCTCACACGAGCGACTCTCGAACAGGTAAGGCCAAGAAAGTTGATCATCTCCAACTCTTCGTTAGACTTGCTGTCATACCTCAACCTTCGTCTCCCTCCGAGTGGCGCTCTCCTTTGTACTATCTCTTCCACGATGATTGGGCCTTGTCATAATCGCGGCAAGTATTCCACACTTCCGTATAGGTGGTGACTGGCCCTGTTGAGCTGGCCCAGTGATGGGGGGAGTAGTTGATTTGTTTCTTTCTAAGCTTCACAATGAGCAGCAGACTGAATGTAGTTACTTCGACTGCTCCAACTCTACCGTGGAGCTTCTCTGTATCTAACAGAAGGTTACCGGTTGTTGTCTGTGTCCAGTTAAACGGTGGCTTATCGAGTCTGATCGCCGAATCTGCGTCCTCGACCTCACTCCAGCAGTCGCCCCCGCAATCTGCATGTTTAGTGCAATCCTTATCATCTGGATGCGTTTCTCCTCACGGCTCGGGTCTCTTTCGAGGCCGTAGTTTATCTATCGTTTCTCAAGTAACAGCAAGCTATTCTCCGGTCCTCCTTTCGATTTGACAGATACGGATGCTATGGCTTATCTATTGCTTTTGCCGCCTACTCTGGAATTGTAATCCATCGTTATTCCTCCCTCTCTCAGTCTTGCCCTGCTCTCTTATTTGGGTTTCTGTCTCCTCCAGCGAATGGGTGTCACCATATCTGCTAAGTCCTTATTGTCATTACCCCGAGCGGTATGGACAACATCAAGATCCCATCGCCCTCGACAATTCTAGACACTACTCCCACCATTCCTTCGCCCACCAGGACATTTGATTCGGCCTCTTCCATAAAAAGAAGCGCACCACGGAATCAAGCTACAAGAGAAGCCGTCAATAACAAGCCCAAGCAATCTAAAAGTCGAAACGGTAAAGTTCATTCCTATCACCTGTCAAGAAATCAAGCCTGGATGTCGGATCGGTGTAAACCGCACAAATACAGAATTGCGCTGAGCGCTGACTCCATTTCCTTTCACCGTACATTAGGGTGCATTACCTGCAAGGCAAAGAGACTAAAATGTGACGAGTCGAAGCCGACCTGTCTCCAATGCAAGAAGCGCAACGTGGAGTGTGGAGGTTACAAAAAGGACTTTAAATGGCGTCCATTCGAAGAAACCAACGTGGTCAGCAGGATTTCTTCTATTCAAGCCAGTAAGAGTAAGTCTGCAGGTTTGCAAGGTATTCATTTGTAGCCAGCACTAAGATCTCTCAGGTGATCCGGCCACATCAGGCAAAGAAAGGAGGGCCAGTCGTTCAGTGCAGGCGGGCAAGGATCGTCAACCTTCGCCGGTTAGCGCTCGATCGTCCGCACCGACAGCATCCTCTCTAGAATCGAATGATGTTGCACCCATTCATACACTGCAGTCAGACGATTCTCCTCCCACCGACTCACCACTTGCATTGACCCAGGAAAACCTCACATCCTGGAACGGTGGCATAGCCCGTTTTCTGGACTTCAGTAATGCAGAAGATGAGCTCTTCGCGCCGTTTTTCACAAATAGTTCACCACTGGAACAGTCTCCACGGCTCTCCGATATTGTCCCCTCCGCTCTGGAGATCCATACAACCCCAGTACGAAGGCCGCTGGGGCTGGCTTCGCAGAACACAACTCTTCGACCGGGCAACTTGAGTTTTGCAGCACTTCTCGAAGAGGATAATGATGAAATAGAAGAAATAGCCCGCCATTCCGATGAGTATATTGATCCGTGGCTAGTAAGATTTTCCGATGGCAGGGCGCCGTCCGAGACCCCGAATACCCCTGCTATGCTGACCAAGGAGCCAAATTTTGATATTGCAAGTCCCGAAATGTTGGCACTGCAATTTGACAGGTTCACTTGCGGGATTTTGTCTGTCAAGGATGGGGTAAACGAAAACCCTTGGAGGACTCTGATATGGCCTCTGGCTGCAGAAAATCCAGCCTTGTACCATGCGTTATTCTCTATGACGGCTTTACATTCAAGCAAGGCCAACCCAGGACTAAGAATGCACGGCGTGGATCATATGAGAAGAAGCATCACGTACATGGTCCAAGATATTCAGAATATGAGGACAGATGCTGCTTTAGCTACGAGCTTGGCTCTGGCTTTCGCGGACACATGGGACCAACACACCCGTAACTGTATCCAGCATGTACGTGGGGCCAAGGCACTCGTATCGCAAGTCCTAAGCTCCAAGGTTCGGGATGCAAATGACATCCAAAGGATCCGGTTCTTATATAACACCTGGCTGTATATGGACGCAATCGCACGCTTAACCACTCGGGACGACGAGGGAGATCAGGATATGGATTTCTCCATTTTCCAGCTGCCCCGGAACGCAGTTCATGAGATTGACCCCTTGATGGGCTGCGCCACTACACTGTTTCCACTCATCAACCAGGTCGCCAGACTGATCCAACGAGTTCGGAAGACGGAATCAAATTCAATTTCTCTTGTCTCTCAGGCTATCGAGCTAAAAAGACTTATCGAGCAATGGGAACCACCGGAGTGGTTCGTGCCGCCGGAGGATCCAACATCCGAAGTACAGCACAGTATCCAGACGGCACACGCCTATCGCTGGGCAACTTTACTGTATCTTCATCAAGCAGTGCCAGAAATGCCTTCGGAACCAGCTAGTGACCTGGCCAAGCGTGTATTGATACTGCTGGCTACTGTTCCTTCGGGTTCCCGCACGACAATCGTTCAGATGTTTCCTCTTATAGCAGCTGGATGCGAGGCCGAACCAGGAGAGGATCGCCAGTGGGTTTTGAGTCGATGGAGAGCCATCCAGTCTCGTCTCATGATAGGGTCCATTGATCGATGTATTGAAGTAGTCCAGGAAGTTTGGTCTCGTCGTGACACCATCGAGTCAGAAAAGCAGCGACGCCACGAGCGCGTGCTCAGCAGTTCTAATCCTCAGAGCAAAGCCGGGGCGGCGGGACGTAGGGGGCCGGGCTTAACATCCCAGGGAACGAAGGAACGATCCATCAGCAGTTTCGGTATTCCTTCCGACCTAGCAGTATCGTCTAAGCCCCAATTCGTAGGCACTCGAAGAAGCTCTGCTGTATCGCCATTGGAAAACATCGAATTCGAGAAGACAGTTAGAGGTAAATTACATTGGGTCAGTGTCATGCAAGAATGGGGATGGGAAGGTGAGTCTTTATCCTGTTCTGCTTGACGGTTTGCATAGTATTTCATTCTTCGGTACCTGAGCTGAATCGGACTCTGTATTTTGCAGTGTTTCTGGGATAAAGGAAAATAACAGAATCGAGAAGTCGATATGTTCGATTTTCTACCGGCGATGGGACATATTATTGTTTGCAGCCGAGCCCTTGACTCGGACTTGTTCATATGGCCTGCATTCTCTCGGCTTTTGGGACTGTTGCAATGGAGCTGGCGGCTGGCCTGATTTTGAGTGGTCTTCGTTTTCTTTGTCCTCAAGTTGGGATGCCGCGAAGTCATTGCTGGCTAGATACGATCGGAGTGAAGCCAGATATGACTCGAGGTCGCTTGTGATCTTGACGGTTGACATTCCGACGGAAGAGCCAGGCATATACTGGTTGAAACCGTCAATACTGGGGATTTCGGTCGCGGTATAATCCAGGATGGACTTGGAATTGATGTCAAGTTGCGATTGGGTTACGGACTTTCCTTCTACTTGATTAGCATGGCGTTCAGAGTTGGTTGCAACGGCTTGCTTGCGGTTCATGTACTGAATGCTATACAGACTTGGCCTTGTTTTGGTGATCTGATTGCATTGGGGCAACCACAAGAGGGTCCAAGTTGGAATCGTCGTTTCGAAGATGTCGCTTAGGGAACAAGGTCTTCTTTTGAACAGCTGCTCCGGATTTGCTTGTGCAATGGGTTGGCGCATGGGCTAACGAGCATGAGACGATTTCTTCACAGATTCTCTTTCCTACCAGGACGCGAAATGTGAAGGAGCAAGACCCGGCTCTGATTTATAACCAGGATTGAATTTGATTTCTCTACAACGAAAATGACTTTAGCTCTGACAGTTATTCAAGAGGCGTCCATACCACAAACCTGTTGATATATATAACATCTGACCTCCAGCTGGCCACTGAAGCCGACTATAGAAGCACCGAAAAGCGCTGCGAGAAATTTCTCGTCGACGACACTTGCCGGAGACACTCAAGACCGGAGATCGCTTTAATTTCCCGCCGAGTGACTCTGGGGCTCTGGCATAAGGCGGTCTCTTTTTCTACCGCTAGTGAGTATTACTCGGTCGGATGGACAGAAGTAGGAAAATATGAGAGAGCCCCCAAGAGGAAATGGGGGAAGTTCCTTCTTTTTAATGACCGTCCAGCCCACTAAGCAAATCACCCACTAGTCTCAGGTAGGTAGTGATGTATGGTGTCATCCTTCGGGCCTGCCATTAGTTGATGGCAGGGCAGAGAGGCTGGTCTGACTAAGACAGTCCCGGCCTAGGGGAGAAGTGATTGGTATGGTTGCATGCAGGATGGTTGGTTCAGTTTGGGTTCTTGAATCCCATCTCCGTCGGCGGGGTAGATAGACAAAGCAAGCAGAGCATCCCCAGGTTCTGTTCTAAGGCAGATGGACGCAGCTCTCGGACTTTCTGGTAGATTTGAGAGGCTAATGTAATATCAACATTCTTTGAGATGATTGCATATTGCCATATTCATCTGCTGATTGCTGGATGTGGGATTCACAGATGATGCTATCGTGGGAGTGCTCCGCAGATACCTACTAGGCATTTGGGAGGAAAGACTAACCAATCCAGGCAAAATTGTCCAGGACTACAGAGTATGGTCCGTCGGTACCCAGTTTCTGGTACGGTAATTTGTAGGCTGAGACTTTGGTTTTACCTCCCTTGAAAGGTACCTTGGATACTCTGTAGATACCTAAGGCTGTCCCATTACCATACGTTGACAGTTGACAGTACAGTTACTGATAAGCACAGAGGACGATTAAGGTACTGATAGATAAGGAAATACCCCTCATCACTCGACCCCTCACTCTCACGCCTTAGAATTTCTGCTGAGGTGCTCAGTACCTCGAGATGAATAACCAACTGGAGGAATCATATCCGATTGACCATGGCTAGATCATTTGTTTCGTGAAAAGTTGTCGCTGGGCTCCCAGTGTGGTAACTGGATCCGTTTGTTCGCATTGCTGTGCTATTCTATCCTTGTGGATGGAGAATTGTACTTTGAAAGACAATGGCTTGGAAATCTACATAGATCCTATATATATTGCAATATCAGAACTGAAAATCAACGGTTTTAATATCTCAGCATACGCAGTATAGAGTAGACGCATCTTTTATCTATACGGATACTCCCATCCATCACCAAAATGACCGTCCCGTTCAGATACCACGCCAAAGCCCAATCCACGTTTAAGCCACCACTAATCGCAAATGAGAATGCCTTCCTAGGCGATGTGTACTCGAGGTATTTGAATCTAACAATTCCCTTCACTCAAACTGATATGATCCCCGTAAAGCGAGAAAGAGAACCCCGACAAGCCCATATCGGCTGGCTTCTACCGCCTGGAGAAAGGCACCCCGCTGGTGTATGAATACACCTACGACGAGATGAAAATCATCCTCGAGGGGCAGTTCGAGATTGCGGATGAGACGGGGCAGAAGGTGACGGCTTTGCCGGGGGATGTTTTTTATTTTCCGAAGGGAGCGAAGATTACGTTTACGACGGAGACGTATGGGTTGGCGTTTTATGTGAGTTTCTTTCTGGCCGGGTTGAGGTGCTATTGGATAGCTACTAACTACTGTCTTTGTAGACTGGACAGAGGAAGCAGGGAGGTGCCTAGATGGTGCCGTACGATGGATGGAAGGATGAGGGTCATTTGGTCGGGTGAAATAACCTGGATAGCGTGGACTATGAGTATATCACGTCATCGACCACCTTCAATAATCGATGGAATCAAAAGATCTCAGTTAGGTACTTGGTCTCAAGGCTCTCGAGCCTCTGGGGCGACAGGCGACAGGATTCTTCCATGTTTTCCTGGGTCTGTGGTAAATGTAACATCCCGCTATACCACTAGTCCAGTTCTAGTGAGCGTGGAACCATGGAACTGCCATGCTCAAAAGAGTAATTTGCTTATCCTAGGTACCTCATGTAAACAAGGACAAGTGTCGCACGGGCTAATTTCTCGTGCAAAACCTGTTGGAATGCTATTCATTGTCTAATGGCAACTGCAATCCGCTGCCTTAGGAATGTGATTGTCTCGGCAATAATAATAATAATAATAATAATAATAATAATGAATAGGCGAGCAAGGATAGACAAAGCCATTCAGACATCACAAGCTTCCGGATGAAACTTCAATTGGGATCAGATCTCACCCAGACCTCATCCGCCGTCGATCCAGCCCAATTTGATTAAAATCGGAGGATGACTTGCAGGATGACCCGTATTGTTACTGTCGGACAGATCCTGGCGCTCCGTAGTACGCAGACTAAGCCGCCAGATTTTAAACTCCGAGACTGGAGACGCCATATCCATTCTGATCCCCAAACCTCCGGCACTCCAATCACAAGCTCGAGAGGACTCCGATAAACTCGTGCCCCCTGGATTCAAGGCAGGGGTCGTTCGCTAAATCTCGCTCATCGTATCTCATGGGGATCTCGACGGATCGTAGCCTTATGCCTTGGACAAGGGAGTTACCGGGGCAACTGCTATGCTAGAATAGGAAGAGGGGTACGGATCGAGATGATCCTGTCAACTCGGACGCTTCTCGTTGGCTAGAAAAATCCAGGTGGACGAGTGGCTGGCTGTTAATCATTCATGTTCCTGGGGATGACGAAGGAGAAGGATGGGACGAGGTCTCTTTCGGTTCAGCTGAAGCATTATCATCAGTAGTCGACAGCTGAATCAGGCGCAGCAGACATTCACCATCCTTCAAAACGGGGGCGAAGGGCGAATCACGTTTCCTTGTCTAGAGTGTCTGTGTCTGTGTCTGACTCTCTTGTTGTCGCTCCCCTTTCTTCTCTCCTTCCTTTTCTCTTCCTTCTTGACTCCCCACTAAATAATAAAAAAAGAAACAAAGCCATTATTCCCTCCACTTGGCTCCCGACCAAAGCTCCCCCCAGAAGTGGCTTATTTCTCTCTTGCCTTTGACGTCTCTTCCTTCCTACTCCTGTCTATCATCACTTTACTTCTTCCTTTACGCCATACTTCAAGAAACATTTGCAGCTTCTCTCTCCTCTGTTCCTTTGACTCCTCCTGACTAGATTCCTCCCAGACTACTGTCCGACTACCTTAGCTTCCTTCGTCCCCACCAACCAAGGCTGATAGCTGCCATACTGGGCTTTAGTCTACCCCGTTGGCGGAGTAGTCTCGCCTCGCCCTTATCGCCTCAGCCACGTCCAGAGATCAATTGGGCACATTTCTCTCTGACGCTGGTTCACTTTTTCTCCTTCTGTCTCTCTTTCCTTTTTACTCTGGCCTCCATACTCGCTTGGCGACACTTGCGGCCATGATGACCCTCGATACCCCTCGTGAATCGCCGGAGCGTCACGGTCTGCGTCTTCCAAATCCCCCTCCTCTGTTGCATACCCGATCGGGCAATGAACCTTTCGATCGCCCCTCGACACCTGCAGATAATGGCTTCACCAGTCCTGCCCAAACCCCGCAGGGCAGTCCCAGCAAGAACAGAATGCCTCCCGGCGCCATTGACCTACCTAATGTCTTCGAAAAAGCGTTGAAGCTCACTCCCTCCTCTCCCACCAAGAACACCTTCAACCACTACAACCATCCCATGTTTGCTCCCCCGAAGGGATCGCTGGACGACTTTAGCGAGAGTGTCATCCGCCAGTCACCAGGGAGCCCCACGCGCAAATCGAATAAAGAAAACACCCCCCCGAGTCCTCTCAAAATAGCCAAGGATCTAGGCCCGAATCCTACCGCCGCCGCAATTTCTCGTCATGAGCCATATCAGCAGAGAGATCTGGACACTCTCCAGAGGCGCCAGGTTCAGATGCGAGGCTTGACGCCAGAAGAGATGGAGAAACTGCAGAGCCCCAGAGTTAAGCGATTAGTCAACGTGACTCAACTATGTAAGTGTATTTCCAGTGTGACGATTTGCACATAGATGCCCCGATTGGCCTCCAACACTAACGCATTTGATTCTTCGCCCAGACTTCCTCGACCATTACTTTGACCTACTCAGTTACGTTCACAACCGCCAGACCCGCTATTCCCAATTTCGTGCCGCCTACCCCGATCCTCCTGCGACCCCAATTGATGATTACGAGCCAGCCCTCCTCAAGTATCTGGGTCGTGAGCGTGCCCATCTTCGCAAGCGTCGCACCCGTCTGCGTCAGCACGACTTCCAGATTCTGACTCAAGTCGGCCAGGGTGGCTATGGACAGGTCTATCTGGCACAAAAGAAGGATACTCGAGAGGTGTGCGCGTTGAAAGTCATGAGCAAGAAGCTTCTGTTTAAGCTGGATGAAATCCGTCACATTCTCACTGAGCGAGACATCTTAACAGCGGCCAAGAGTGAGTGGCTAGTCAAATTGCTCTACGCTTTCCAGGATGATGATCAGATCTACCTCGCAATGGAGTATGTGCCAGGCGGTGACTTCCGCACCCTGCTCAACAATACTGGCGTCTTGCACAATCGCCATGCCCGATTCTACATTGCGGAGATGTTTAGCTGCATCGACGCACTCCATGCGCTAGGGTACATTCACCGCGACCTTAA